GATAATGTAACCCGCACTTCAATTTTTTTCCAATATATATTAAATAATTTTCATCCGTCGTGTTTCAAAGAGACTACACATTTGTCAGAGCTTTTCAAAATCCTCTAAAAAAAAAAATTTTCTAAAACTGACCTTCAATTTTTTTCCAATATACGAAAGCTTATGTTTTTAAAATATCAGTATGGTGAAGGTGATTTCTACAGCAGTCTACCAAAATCCTCTAACAAGCAGCACTTCCCCAGTCTCACTACGACCATTTGGTTCATGTTCAGGATTACAACCCGGAGATGGGGAAGAATCTGGATATTATTTAAAAGAATTTAATGATGTGTAACTTTGGTATTATGTGTATTTTATAATATTCACAGTCTTTGAAAACACATGGTATGTAAGATACTTAATTCCCAATTAAGAAGACGATCTCCATTCTTTAACCGTGACAATTAAGTAAGAATTTACCGAGCCATAAAACAAAGTTAAATATCAGCACAGAATTGTTTTATAAAGAAGATACATATCACTGAGAATATTTTGCCTTCATCTTAAAAAAATGCAAAGATCTAAAGAAAAATAGCTTTAAAAATCTGATTATTTGTACACCATTGTAAGCCTTTGGGCTTTGAAGTATTTCCCTCTTCAAATTATATTAAACCAAAACACACACACACACACACACTTTTGTTACTTAGCACTTGTAGTTAAAAGCTTACAAACGCTGAACGGTGTGATAAATGGCTACCCTCCATCATTCAGCATTGGCCAATGGCAAACCTATGCTACTTCTATGAGCACTGAGGCTCCTCCCTTCTAGGCTGCTGGCAGCCTCAAATTCTCTTTTTTGTGATGTTATCATTGCCAATATTCATCACAAGAATCTCTGCATCCAGATCAGGAGGACTTCATAGAAGAGAAAAGGGACACCTGCTCTGCTGAGTCCAGACAGAGATGAACATTCACTGAGAAACAGCATCATTCATGTGCTGCTCATCTCTCTAGTATCAGCATAGTGTTAAGGAACCTCTGATAAGAGTTTATCTTAGAAGCCAGAATAGTATTACTTATATGATAAAATGCATCCCCTATTCCATATCACTGACTTACCAAAGAACATCTGAAACAAAACCAGCTGAAAAACTGCAGAACTACATATAAAGATAATGCCCTTAACTTAGAAACTTAGAAAAAAAAAGAAAAGCTAAAAATGGAGATTATCCATTGCTTTGGTACTTTTTGTATTTCTAGGTAGTAAAGCATCTTCAGCTAGAAGACATCAAGTATTATTCATGTTTGTATCCCATATAACTTAGTCATATCCCTTAATTTTCATTTGGTCTGTTTTAACAATAGACCCAAAGTGTTAATAAACAGTTTGCCTTACCTTTTTCATACACATGTCAGCTATTATGGAAAGAGGTATTGTAAGGCTTAGTGCAAGTGTGCCTATCAATGATGAGGTAAGAAAGCAGCCCCTAAAAGAAAACAAAAGAGAAAATATGCATTTCTGTATTAAAAAAATAAAAGAACCAAAGAAAAACATTGAAGAAAAGACTTTTTAAACTATAACATAGGCTTGAGAGATCAAGAGCAGAAATAAGAACTCAGGATGGACTGAGACATAAAAAATAATAAATACATTAAGATGATTCTCAAAGTTTATCTTCAAATATTAAAATATAAATACATAAGTATTAAAAGTTCAAAATATTTTAGGTTATTTTCAAGATCTGTTTACAAATATTATTCAACTTTGGATGTATTTCTATTTCGTTAATTTTTTTAAAAAAACTGTTCAACAGAGTTCTTACAGTTGTATAATGATACTTTGCTAACAAAGAAAATAGCATTGTTAAAATAGCAGTACAATACCTTACACATAGACTTTAAGAAAGTGATAAACCAGCATGCAACTCTGCCTCCAAAGTAAAAACATCTCAGTCTCATAAAAACTAAAATAGTGTATTATTCTTTTGATTGTCTTAGCATAGAAAAGAAGGAACTAGATATTTTTAAAGAATATTTCTTTGTTGTTTTCTACTTTTCAAACAATTTTTCTAACCAAAAGCTAAGCTCTTCATTTTATTTCCACCTTGAACTATCAATGTTGGTATGAAATTTTGAAATATCAATCTGTATATGATTTTGTTTAGTTAATGGAAAATATTATACCAGAGAGAGATAAGCCATTTTCAAAGACTAATAATTTGGGTATACATGAAGAAAATGAGTTATCAGCCAAGACAAAAAATCATAATGTATATATTTGGACTACGGATCCATGGAAATTATAAGCAAGTAAATTCTAGCTCAGTATATGTGTTAGAATTTAACACTGTCTTGCAATAAAATGGGCTATCTCTTGATAAAGTGTCACCAGAAGTATTCACTGGGGCCTGGACAATTAGTCTTCACTGATGAGGTAAAGAGAACTCAAGTACTAGTGATTCCCACTACTCATGAGCTGGTCTGTGAAAAGAGGATTCAGGGGTCAAATACAGCATAGATTCCTGGATATTCACCATGCAAAGTACTATAATAAAACTCAGAGAGATAAAATTAGAAAACCTATTTGACTTAATCCAGCTTTTCCCCATTTAGCTGATGGCTGACTCCTTTTGTCATCTATTAATATTTCAGGTTAAAAAAAAGTTGAGCATCTAAAATATATGTAATGAAAGATGAAAAAATGAATAAGTGGGTTGGTATCAAAGCGATTTAGATCAGCAAAGGAGTTTAGATAAGTACGCAAATTATTACAATACAAAGTAAATCTTTAAGTACTACACCAAAGAGAGTAAATATAGAAGATATCAAGAAAATAGAGATATTTCCTTCACTGGACAAGGACGTGGTGAGGAGCATAGACAGGGCGTTGAGGAAGACTTCATGAAAAAGTCTATTTCTGTTGCAGTCTTTTGCAAGGGAAAACTAGTTAATAGTCTCAATTACTATGTAATAAATTCATTTAGGAGTTTAAGTACAATTTGTATTTCTTCTTAAGTTCCTGTTAGATGGAAATAAGAGTCAATATAAAGCTCTATATTTAAAAGATTTCTCAAACCCCATATATGATACCATCTTTAAATTATTTTAACCTTATTATCACGTCAATGTATTTGACATTATAACATATCAAAGTATGTTAACATTTCAAATTAATCAGTTTATGGTTTACATATCTGGCTCACCCACATGAAAGGTCCTGAGAATAAACAAAACAAAAAAAGCCTATGAACAACCAACCAGATATTCCAAAGCCTCTTGAATAAACAAAGTCCCCTAGATTCTCACTTAGAACTCAGGCATTCCTACTTGGCATACACATCTCATAAGTCTGGATGTTCATTAAATAATGACTACTTTCATTTGCATAACACTCTATTTCCTAAAAACACTTTAATGTATTCAATTGTAAGTAAGTGAGTGTGTGTGTGTGTCTGTGTATGTGTGGTGGGCGGTGCACAGGAGGGGCCATTAGCAGACAGAAGAAATATAAATGCTTAAATCACCCAAAAGTCAATAAACTGGTAACTAATAAGAGAATAAATAATACATACCACAACCACAGGAACTCTGAAAGAACTGTTCCAATAAGGCCGTTAATGATAATGCACATTAATACTACTTTATTGGGAAACTCAAAGTCCTCATATCCAGTATAATGTAGTAAAAAAAACCCAGGCCATAGGAGCAGCAGATTAAAGAGACCCACAAAACCTGAATGTGTATAAAAGAAACAAAAGTTAAAATTGTGATTTATTTCAATTTTCCAACCTTATTAATGCTATAATTAGAAAACATTAGATTTTGCACAAAAGGTTCCAATAGGTTTCTTTAACTAAAATTTCTATTGGTTTGTTTTCAAGTGAGTTCGGTGAATAGCTCAATGCCAGAAAAAATTGCAGGAAGCAACTAGTGATCACTGGGTCAAGGTTCAATTATCTACACTATATGGGAGCAACTACTGTGGAATAAACCACTTAAGAAAATTCAACAAGAAGGGTTGTTAACCTTAGCTACTAATAATATAGTATTGTACAACTTAAAGAAATAGCTGGTATGTATGTGTTTGTGTATTCAGGCTAAACTAATTTTGAGGAAATAGATGGTTTGCTCTCTGCTTCAATTCATTTATGTTCAAAACACCTATGCTGTGCTGGGAATGATGGGGGAAGATTTCAAAGAAAATAAAATTCTCTGCCTTCTAAGAACTCTAGCTAGTTGGTGAGATAACGTATATGCACAAATAATTATTCAACATATGAACTAAGTACAGGCTGATTACTCATAAAGGAAAGCTACCCATGTAGTGGTTAAAAGGTGTACGCTCTATAGTCTAACTGTCCTGGATCCAATCCCAGCTTTACACTTCACTAGTAGTGTACACCTTATACAAGATGCAGAACCTCCTTTAAGCCTCGGTTTTCCAAACTATAAATACAAAATAATATTTAATTAGGTTGCTGAAAAGATTAGTGGAAACACTTATAAAACATATCATAGTACCTGGCACATAGTTAAACACTTTATAGAAGTTAGCTGTTATTATCATAGAAATTAAGTTTATAAATAACTATGTACATGTGAACATAAAGAATATAAAGGAAAAAGATTACAGTTGTATAGTAATTTTTGTTGCACTTTCTATACAGTTTAACATCACAAATCTACTATGAGATCCATGAGGTACCTACAGAGCTTTCTTAAAAAAAACTAAATTACAGTAGATATATATTTTATACTTGCTATGTCACCTAAATAAAACCAGTATGTAGGAAGCCTAGTTAAATCTTCTTAACAGGGCAGGAGCACCCACTCTCCATCTGCTGCAAAAGACTCACAGCTGCCCCCACCCTCTTCTCTGAAGAAGTGTCTTTGTAGAGCAAACAAATCTGCCTTCCCCAGAAAGTTCCCACCCTCACCACCCCACACCCTCTGCAGCCCAGGACTAACTGAAAGAGGATTCACAAGTCCAGCAGCTCAAGCGCTAATGGGTCAAGGCCAGACAACTCAGAGGAGTGCCTAGACATATTACCTGTTCTCCCTCTGCCACCTGGTTCTTTCTCCTACTCCATCCTGCTCCCTTCACTCCCATACAAGTTTTTCCTTCAGAGAACCAATAAGCCACCCACACCAAATCCCTGTCTCATATCCTGCTTTAGGGAACCCAACTTAGGACATCTAGAGATAAAAAACCAAAAGGACACATACAAAAGGGACTAAGGACTTAAAAGGCTTAAATAACATTAAAAAGTTATTCTAATTAAGATAATAAAATTTGGCATTATCAAGAACCAAATCTATTTTCTGGCCCCTGAAGTGATGATTCTATGAAATTCCACATAAATTAGCCACCTTTGACCTAGAGACAAAAGTCCAAATGACTTCACCTATTACCCAGAACCCCCAGAATCTAGCACCACATTCCTTCCTGTTCTTCCCTAAAGTGAAGTCCCGGCACAATCATTCAGATCTACTCACTTGTCCTTGTTATACCGCTGCTTATTCTCCCTTGCCTCAAGAACCTCCCATATCCCAATCTTAACTTCTTCTTCTCCAAATCCTATATAAAGCCCAGAGCAGATCAATATTGCTTTACATATCACGTTGCGTAAGAACAGAACCAAGACAAGTTACATGTCTATGTGTACTCTCTCTAATAAGAGTAAATTAAGCAATTTTTCTTGCAAGTTGCCACTGCTAAAAGAAAAGTGCCACTGACCTAACCATTTGCCTCTAATACTCAAAAAACATTAGCATTTCATTCCATTCCAAATGGAATTTTCTATGACTCTAAAATAAGACATCATTAAAATTATCTTCATTGTTAAAGTATATTTCTTAAATTCTATACTTAAAAGGCACTTAAGCAATCACTCAGTCTGGTGGCTTTTCGAACATTTTATTTTTGTTAATCTTTAGGTGCAGGTATTCAAACTATTTTTAGTGGCAAATCTTTTCTACAAATTAAATTATAATGCAAAAAGCCCAACGAAGCAAAGCTGTTCCAGGTGAAGCAGCAAAGGAGTCCAAGAACCAGACCCCTGCATGTAACTCTACCTCTTCCCAATCTTCCCAGGACCCTCTGTATTCCCGAAATCATGGTCTGGAAGCCATTCATCTCGTCCAATTTCCTCATATTTCAGATGGGTATGAGATAAACCTCCTGACTCCCTGTAAGCTGCACTTTGAACTCTCAGCACCAGGCTTCTTTATCTCTTTATATTCAGATATCTTTAGGAAGATATCTTATCAATGTGCACTTCTTTTGTAATTCTACAGATACCATATATTCTTCACTGAGCTGATTTTAGGCAAAGTAGAATTTATACATCATATTAGGTATTTTATTTACCAAAACCTAAGAATTGGTGCCAAAAAGCATAATTGGGTAATTTCAGAATCTATGTTATAAAAGATTCTGAGTCTTAAAGATAAAATGCAAATGGAAAGCCTTTAAATGGCCCACAATTTTTAATGAAAATAAGTACACTGACTGGAACAATATTATACATATCTTTTTGGAGCAGTTCCCCCAAACTTACGCTTCCAACAATTCAAAAATGGCAAAATGTATAATACAGCAGGAAAATTTTCACATGCTTATAATAGCATAACTTTGTTACATCAATGAGGAAAATACCTGATTCACAGGCTGAAGACATTAACATGAAAAGGTGTGAGGAGTTTCTACGAGCGTTCCCTCATAGATGCACAACAACACAGGAAAAAGTAAGAGAAAAACATTGAGACTGGACTTCATAATCTTTAAACAGTTTTAAAGAATCATATGCAGGAGGAAAAAGGCTTCCCTATTTATTCCCTCCAAAAAACAAAATCAAACCCCTAAGTTAATCATTTAGAGTAAAAAGCTTCATGAGTTAAACATACTCTTACCAAAGAACATTGGAATATCCAACTTATCTTCTCTGTCTACTTTTCTCTTAATCATAACGATATAGACAGCATAGAGCATGGCTCCAACAAGAGACCAAATGGAACCTATAAAAATCAACATGGTTAAGGCATCCATTCATTAATTCATTCAATACACACTTAAAATCTAATAATGTGTCAGATACTACTGCAAGAAATGAGTATACAAAAATGAAAAGATATAGGCCGGGCATGGTGGTTCATGCCTATAATCTTAGCATTCTGAGAGGCCGAGGCAGGAAGATCACTTGAGGTCAAAAGTTCGAGACCAGCCTCAGCAAGAGCGAGACCCTGTCTCTACTGAAAATAGAAAAAGTTAGCCAGGCATGATGGTGTATGCCTGTAGTTCCAGGTACTTGGAAGACTGAGGCAGGAGGATCACTTGAGCCCAGGAATTTGAGGTTGTTGTGCTGACGCCACAGCACTCTAACCCAGGCAACAGAGCAAGACTCTGCCTCAAAAAGAAAAAAAAAAAAAAAAATATATATATATATATGATACAAATCATCTTTATAATGATATGAAGATATATAATGACCCCATCTATGTCTTCCAGGAGTATAGGAAGGAGTTTAATATGTTAACAAATAAATATAAAAGCATTCACCTCAATGACCTAACCAAACCTATACGTGTTACAATAATAAACTCATAAGTAACACTGCTTTTAATTTTGAAATATACGCTTCCTATTTTTCCCTACCTAAACAATTGACACCTGGCACTGTCCAACTTAACAAATGCTTCTTTCATCACTATGTTGTTAGTTATATTGTTTTCCTTACCCCCATATATCATTCTTAAGATATATTCCACCACCATCCCTATCTTTAAGGCTCTGTTAAAGTCCCACCTCTTTCACAAAGTATCCTTTCTACTCTGCTGAATTCCGCCCCCACTTGTCTTCTGCTTTAGCCAATTATGCTAAGGTTAAATACGGTATTATTTTAATCTATAGTGGCTTGATTTTGTGAATCTCATATTGTTTCATATCAAGAACTCCTTGAAAATTGTAAACACGTAATATATATTTTTTAAGGTTCCAAAATATCTAACATAATGCAGAGCTCATAGTACATGAATAATAAATACTGATTCTCTTTATTAACTCACTTTCAAAAACATTTAAGTCTTTTAAAACAGCTAAATAGTGTTCTCCTGCCAAGTGATCATACTAAATACTTTCATCAATTATTCAAAAGACTGATGTTTGATTAAATCTATTTTTTATTATTTTCAGGCTTTTTAAAAGCAAAAAAAGCCTGTCAACAAAATCTTTCACACACACAACATACATACATTTATAAAAATATATATATACACACACATAAAGGGAGAGAGAGTGTGTGTTTTATACAAACAAAGCTGCTTGGGGTGAGAAAGGTAAGCTATGTTCAAGGCATCGCTCACTGGGCAGTAATGAGGAATAATTTACAAAGCATTGTTCTATTCAATAAATTTCAAATATCTAAAGAAGTATCCAAAGGGAAACCATTAAGCTGAGTTCTGATTACCTTTTTTTTTGTAAAATCTAAGCCATGGATCGAAACTAAGTGTTTGCCATAGTAGTAACTGTTTCAGGCAAGAATCAAGAGTGAAAGACAAAATTTGTGGGTTCAAATATAATAGCAACAGAAAATTTGTATAGTCTCAAAGTATCAAAGGGAAAAATTAGTAACTTCACACTGGAGCAACCTGGCAGACACCATCTTAAAATTAACATCGCTAGTAATGGAACAAATCAGCATTATGCATGCTGCACTAATAAGAAAACAGTACTACTTCCATGAAATTTCTAAGAAAAATGCACCACCTCAATTTAACCACAAGGAAATGTCAGACAAATCCAAATTGAGGGTCGTTCTACAAAACAACTGAGCAGTACCCTACAAAAGTGTCAAGGTCATAAAAGACAAAAAAAGACTGAGGAACAGTTCCAGATTAAAGGGAATGAAGGAGACGTGACAGCTAACTAAATGCAACAAGTGATCCTGGACCAAAAAAAGAACATTAGTTTAAAAAAAAAAATGGCAAAATTTGAAAAGGCTCTATAGACTATAGTATTATAATCAATGTTAATTCCTGATTTTTGAAACTGTACTGTAGTTATATAAGTTGTTAACATTTGGAGAATCTGGGTAAAGGCTATGTGAGAATTCTGTAAACTATGAATTTTTTTTTACATTATTTCCAAAGAAAAAGTTTTTAAAAAGGCCCTGTTAGTGCCCACCTGATGTGTATGTGTGTGTGTGCATACCCATGCACATGCATATAAACAATATGCACAAAAATTTCTTGCAGACTCTAAAAGAGAGAATGCAGAGTCAGGTACTTACCTATTGTATCTCTTCCAGCAGATTTTTCAGACCCTGATAGGTTTACCAGTACAACACCTCCAATGCTATGAGAATAACAGTAATTACTGATGAGCAAAATAGTCAATTCTATAAAAGGCTAATCATAAAGATAAAAATTATTCACAGGTTATCAATGTTAGGTTTGTTCCGGGTGGGAACCCGGAAAGTATGTATAGGACATAATGAGGTTAATGGAAAACTTAAATAGTGATCATAAAGCCCATGAAACAAAAGCCGCAGGAGTCTGGAGAGTCCGGAGGTTGTAAATCTAACCCCGACCACAGACAGCTGCAGTGATGCCAGCATTTCTATCCCCCCTGATAAGGACAAAACTACCCCCTCTCCCCATCTCTGCAGGTGTTGCTCACTGCCCCTGGAAAAAACCCTCTATAAAACCCAAGGCTTTCCCCTCCCTTGTGGTGGACGCTCTTTTGGCCTCCACCCATCGGCACCCAGATGCTCAAAATAAACAGCATTTTGCTCCACATGAGGCTTCGTGTATCTCCCTCTCAGTTCCGAACCTAACAATCAAGAACAATCTCAGGCCGGGCGCAGTGGCTCACGCCTGTAATCCTAGCTCTCTGGGAGGCCGAGGCGGGCGGATTGTTTGAGCTCAGGAGTTCGAGACCAGCAAGAGCGAGACCCCGTCTCTACTAAAAAAAAATAGAAAGAAATTATCTGGACAACTAAAAATATATAGAAAAAAAGAAAAATCAGCTGAGCACAGTGGCTCGTGCCTGTAGTGCCAGCTACTCGGGAGGCTGAGGCAGCAGGATCGCTTGAGCCCAGGAGTTTGAGGTTGCTGTGAGCGAGGCTGACGCCACGGCACTCACTCTAGCCAAGGCAACAGAGTGAGACCCTGTCTCAAAAAAAAAAAAAAAGAACAATCTCGGCTTTGGGTAAAACAATCAAAGAATTTTGTGATTTCATTGATAACAGCTAATAGTATTATTAATATAATATAGTGTTATACTTGTATTAACTCATTTAATCCTCACAAAATACACAATATTACTTTATAAGGAAGTATTATTATTGCCATTCCCCTTTTACATATAAAAACTAACAACACATAAAGACATGAAGTAACTTGACCAAGATCCCATGGCTGTGACTGAAATGCAGGCAGCCTGGCCCCAGAGTCCAGTGTTCTCATGTGCCATGCTATCTACTTCCTTTCAGTGAGGAACAAATTTACCACCTTGTCATCCCTCTTCCAATCTTTCCTTTGGAAATATAAATATATTAAACCTATATAAACCTAGCAATGGCACTACTCTCGCTTACTGGCAAAATCTAAATTAACGGTAAAACTATCTTTACATACTAAAATAATTTCACTAATCCCATGATGTCACTGGATAAAAATAAGACTGAATTAAGGATGCAGAGAGGTCACTCGCTCAGTCATTACTTATTGAGCATTTGATATGAGCAAAGCACCAAGTTACAGCAGTGAACAAGACAGTCCTTTTCCCAGTGAGCTTACATTGTGTATTTCTATGTACCTTGTAAATTCTATATATTTTTTCAAACAGAAGAAATATTGCTGATTTTAAAAAATCAGTCTAACCACTCTAACCTACTGATCAGAAGATCAGGGTGGCAATGGGAGAATATGGAAAAGAATATTTTTCCCCTTATGGAATTATGTCATCACAAGTCAAATATATTTCTTATCTTAAATATTCATACCCTTCAATTGAATCATCACAATTTTCTGTAATAATCATTGTTCAAATTCAGATTCAGCTATTATTCACTGAGTACCCACAATATACTAGAAACTGGGGATCTTGTTCCCACTTAGATGATGATAATAATGGCTAAATATGTTAAGCACCTGTTGTGTATCAGACATTGTTCCAAGTACTTTAGAAGTACTCATTTAATCCTCCTAACACTCCTACGAGACAAATCCTATTATTATCCCCAATTTACAGATGAGGAAATTGGCACAGAAAGGTAAGAAACTTGCCCAAGATCTCAAAATCAGTAATGATGCAGGCAGGATTGAATTCTAGGTTGTTTGGCTTGAGGCCACACTCTTTTTTGTCTCTCAATTAATGAAATGAGATTTCTTAGGGGATTTCCTTCAAGATTGTTGCTAAGTCAAATTCTTTTTATGTCCTCAGACATTGAATTTCATTGTAAAAGCAATGCAAAACAAAGTATTAAACAACATTAATATATAATTCTCAAGAACATACAATATACGAAAAGTTTCTAAGTACTACTTTTTTTTGAAGGGACAGATAGTAAATAGTTTAAACCTGCAGGCCATATGGTCTCTGTTGCAATTCAACTCTGCCTCTGTAGTGCTAAAACAGCCATAGACAATTTGCAAATGAATGAGAATGGCTGTGTTCCAATAAAATTTTATTTACAAAACCCAGCAGCTGGCCTACCTTGGTTTGCCAACCTCTGTTCTAGACCAACTTTAATGAGAAGGGGCAATGAATGTACTCTGTCAAAACACTTGCAAGTTCAGTATTTTAGGTCCATTTCCTTCTTTATCAAGTCTTTATTAAAATCTTACAAAGAAAAGTTAGAAGTTAGCACATATTTTGAATAAAGTTAAGTAAAACCTCATTTACTTCCCCAATACAAATATAATACATTTCCCTAATGCAAAAATTTGCTTGGCTAAAACATTAGCCAACTGTGCAAAAGAATAAATCCCTAGTGGCCATAAAGTCTAAATGGTAAATTAGTTGGGTCAACCAGACTATCCACTGAAACTACCATGGTTAATTTACCCTTATAGCTAAAAGAGAAAAACACATAATAATAAGGGCCACCAGTTTTATATGATTGCCAAGTACCAGTCTTTATGATAGTCACTTTATAGATATTACCCTCAAACTTTAAAACAAAGCTGCAAAGTACATATTATCATTTCCTCAACTAGGAAACCTCCTCAGAGTTTAAGGCAACTAACTACCAAGGAGCAAACAGCACAGCTCTTATTCAATCCCGGCTCTGATAGCTAAGAAACACTACTCTCTCTGCTAAATCATTTTGCTACCTTCTCCAATTTTCTCTCACAAAATAACAGCTTTATCAAACCAACACATCTTTTTTGAGTATTATCTATGGACAAAGCCCTATACTAGGGCTTTGGTGACACAAATCGAAAATAAGGCTTTGGCCTTTAAGTGTTTACAATCCAACAGAGAAGACAAGACAAACATATACAAGTTAAATAAAAATAAAAGATTTAAATATAACATCAGATTTAAACAATACTGATGTTATGCAGTAGTGTAAAATTGTCTAATGAATTACGCAGAAAATTACTGAAACATCACCTGAGGCTTAGATAATTAAAGACTGAATGTCACTTTTCTAGGAGAAGTAGGAGAAGGAGAAATCAAAATCAGAACAAAAGGGGGAATTTGTCTTAGACAAAGGAAACAGAAACTTGGGAGATAATGAGGATTAAGCTGCCACATTCAATAAAATGTGAACATCAGTAAAATACTTAGTAAGTCTACAGAAACATGCGTAGGAACCAAAGCTGCCTTGGGGTCCTTCCGTCTCATTACCTTATCCAGGAAGGTTTAGAAAACTAGTCCAGGATGTAACGCAGGGTTGAGTAGCATAATGTCCATTTAAAGCCTTCTTTTATTCTCATCTTCCTTTCCCTTTATAAGATAAATTATCCTTTACCACTACCAGAAATTTAACATCATATTTTCAAGCAGAGTAAACTAGCTATTATGCTACATTCTTACCTTAAAATTACAGCTAATAGTTTAGAAAGGGTAAATCTATCTCCACTGTTACTTGGAAACACTGCAGCAAGGATTAAGGTAAAAAGTCCTAAAGGGAGGAAAGGATAAAAAAAGGTACATGAGCTTAAATACTGTCAACGTTGTTTACTACCAACTTCATTGTTTAACACATTGACTGCCACACTAGAAAAAAAATTTTTCCTTGGGGTCACGGTGTTTTATTATAAAAATAGAATAAAAGCTTTGAAAACAAAATGATCCTTTCTAATTTAATGAAAAATTTGTTATTGACT